TTTCAGTTTTCACGACCTTTTTCTAGGAACCGCACTCCCTTCAGAATTCATATGAGAAAATTGGCTTCACCTTGAGGATGAGAAGCGTTTGTTGTCATGTTCAGAGCTAGGGAATGTCACATAGAAATTTATTAACTCTATAAATAAATTGGTTATTTATTATTGTAATCTTTAAAATGGAGTTCAGATTAGCACTGAAATAAGTTGCGAGATAATCAATATTACTGCCTCAGAATAGTTTCAGTATAAACTACTGGTATGGCTGTTAATTTAGTGACCGAAACCAGACCATTCGAGATTATGCCCTAAACCAAGGCGTTTGTATGATCTTTGTACTTTGGAAGCAAATGGAATAACTAAGGCGAATTCCAAAGCAGAAAATTGATAAGCAAGCAGAAATATGGAATTTATGAAGTAAGCAGCGTTCAGTACAATACGAGGGGATGAAATCCCAATAATATCTACAAAAGAGTCTCGCACAAAATGTTAGGAGCAGCTGGATTTGTTGGCCAAAGCATACGCAGCTCTCTGCTACCTTGGATCTGCAATCTTCAATAGGGAGCCTAGGCTAAGGGTGCAAGATAGTATGTAACTTCATTTTTCCACTTTCAGGATTCAGCTTAAATTCGTCCATCCTGGCTGTGGTGAGTTGGTTCACTCAGGATGGGTAATTGAACCCTCTTTGGATTTGGCCCAAAAAACTCAATTCACTAAAGGAAAATAGACTTGAGAGATAAATAAGAATAGGGTCGGATAATACTTCAAATATTCTTCTATTCGTCTATTTCCAAAATTTCAAGTACCATTGGCAAACAAGATAGCCTGCAGATGTTAAATGAGAAGAGAAACGAGAGAGATGTTCAAGTGAAGAACTCTTTAATCAAGATAGGCAACATAGATACATTACCTGAATCCCGTGATTTCCGACGACAGAATAACCACATTAAGACACAACAAGACAGAATAAAGGGCAAAATCATGACAACTCAAGTTCAATTACTCTAAACTGTAGTCTGGACGCAAAGTATGCAACGACAGCACCACAAATCAAAATGTTACAAACATTGGATGTTTAAATAAATTTAAGAGATAATGTCACGTATGAAGTATGAATAATAGTGAAATATTAAATTTTATTTTTAATTTTTTAATATTTTTAGTGTAATATTTAAATTATAAATTTATTAATTAATATTAAAATACTATTTATCGGTATTGTTTCATCTGTAGGAGTTAATGATGACTGCCATATTAAAAATAAATTTTCAATTTAGATATCAAAATCAAAATTTTTTAAATTTAAATAATATGTTAAATATTTTATTGTAATTTTAAAATCGTTTGTGATGTTAAATTTAAATTTAATTTATCAGATTAATGAAAAATTAAAATTTAATTTTTTAATTAATAGTTTGAAACTTAAAATTTTAATAAAATAAAAAATATTTTTTGATTAAACCACTACCAGTTGTTTTCAGCTAATGGCACCGCGCGTATGGAATGAGGTGTTAATTTGGATGACACCCGAGTGCAAACCGTGCCATGTCTCAGATGTCGTTAAATATTTAGTTGTGTTTATATACATGTTACAGACATGAAAAGTCTGTCTTATTAATAATACATTTTAAGACCCCCTTAATAGAATTTTTAAAACAAGTTTTGAATAAAAAAAAGTAGATAAATGCCTACTTAACACTTAATGCGGAAAACATTTAGTAATTTTTTGCAAATTTTTTAATTATTATCCCCTAAAAACATTACTTCATTATCTACAATAAAAATAAAGAAAAAAAATGTAAAATGATCAATTTTCAAGATTTAATATTTTACGATTATGGAACAATAAATTTATATTCAACATTTAATATTAAAAGTTCAATACTCAAATTTTCAGCAATTAATGTTTCAATTTATCAAATCAAAACCTAAGATTATATTATTGTTGAAATCCATAAACATCATAATATATCAATGAATAATAATAAGGATATTAATGGGTAGTATATGGATGATAGAGTATCTTTTATTTTTATATTTGAAGTTTTATATTATATACATTTTTATATTCATGTTCAAAAGTATTTCAAAATTATCTTTATTTTATTCCAACGAATGTTTATTAGATATGAGTAATTTATATATCCGTAACTTTTTTAAAAAATTATTTTTAGATTTTTTTTATTTTTATGATGCACATTTATGTAGTATTTTTGTATATATATATTATTAATATTTTAAATAAAAATATTTAATTAATTTAAAATAATCATTTTTATATTTAATTAAAATATTATTTATTAAAAAAATAAAGATATATACTATATAAATACATATATGAATATAGAATGCGTATTATATTATTTGTAAAATTGATATCTTAAATAATTATACTAATATTTTCACTCTATAAAAAATTAAATTTTTAGCAATATTTATTTATATTTTTTAAAAAATATATAAACATCACTAAATATTTAACACATTTGACAAAAACAGCTAAAACACCTATGGGTCAAGGAATTTAATAGCATTTTTTTAGACAAATACCATCAATTTAACAGTCGTATTTAAGACAAACAAACAATTATGCCTTGCGTAGATTTTGTTAGTTATTTTAAACATAATACAATAATATAATATAAAAATAATAAAATTTAATAAAAATAAAATAAAAAATATATCTCGATTAAACCACTACAAATTTTTTTTGGTAATCGTGCCGTGCGTATAGAATAAGGTGTCTATTTGGATAACGACAGTTTGCCAACCATGTCATGTCTTATTTTTCCACTTAGACTTTTAAGGTCAAGTAAAAATTTCTTCAACTCACCACACCACGCTTTTTTATTATGTTTGTTCTTTTTATTTTTATCTTTAAAATTATGGCGTATGAACAAAAATATCTCTATCAGTCATCCCTTCAGCACTTTGGGCTAGACCAGAGGGTTTTACAAATGTAATAAGGTCACTACTATGAATTGTTAGGTAACTTATTCATCACTTATCTTTGTTTTAATTTAATTTGAAAAAAATATTAAATGCCACAATATCTGGCCTCGCTCATCAAATTACTATTTCTCTTACTAAAACTCAAAATATATTTTCGTTAGTTCAATTTAAAAAAAAAAAAAAGAAAGATTTGTCCATTGATCATGAATTTCCTCTGGCCTTAACGTTGGATTTTGTTTGCAAATTTTAACTACTTCAATCCAGCTTTGCTTAAATTATTTTTCAAAATAATAATAGACACTTTTAAAAGTCTTAGTTTTGAATTGAGGTTGGACAAAAACTTTTAAATGTTTCAACAAGATTTATGCCTCTAATTTTCATTTTTTAACCATATATGTCAATAGTTGTTTGATTTATCCTAAATCAATATCAAATGATTTTGATTCTTTTGGTTAGACTTTCGGTGTTTATTACAATATATAATTATCTCAATATGGATTTTTTCTAACAGGGAAATAAATAACGAAGACAAGGAACTTTGAACTTTCTCCTTCGATTGGCTTTTCTTACAACCCAGCTGCCTGTCGTTGCCTATCTCGCAACAACCACACAGCATCAGATTAGTTGAATCGGATCATGAAAGTCCTCATTGGGAGAAGTAATCTACATATGTGACCCAAAGTTTTATTTATTTATTTATATATATTAGAAATATTCTGTGATTAAGATTTTGCTTGTTAAAGAAAAAATATAAATATGAAAAAAGGAAAAAAACTGGAAAAAATTAATATTTACTTATATAAAATATTTGGTAACACTTAAAAGAAAAGTAAGATTACCTATTTTATTACTATACACTTTATGAATCCTCTCCCCTTTACCAAATTAAAAATTAAGCCGAAGGAACGATCTACGATGAGACAAAGGGGGGGTCGTTGGAAGGAGAATTGACTCGGTATGGTCCACCAAACGCAGCATAATTAGTAGCATTATAAAAGGCCTTTCTCGTGTGAAAACAAGAAAAAGAACGAGAGATTGACTCCCTAAGTCAACAACTCCCTATATATTTTGTCACGAAAACTATTTTCTTGCTTGCCACCTTCCTTTCTCGCCCCTTTCACCGGCTCCTCCGCATATTACGTCCAATGGAATCGGAATCACTAATTTTAATTATAAAAACCGTACTACCATAAATGTGTTAATCTGTCGGGCCAGCCTTTATTCCCCGTTTTGGCATGGTCCAATATATTTTCTATCATAAAACATTCTAATAAACCATTTTTAATTTATTTTAGCGCTATAAACTCATGATTATTTTAAGTTAGTCCCAAAAATTAAAGATATCCAAATTAATTGAAGATGCATATATTACACAACATATCCACAACAAAGATTAATTAATGTGTTCAAAAGCCAAAAGCCAAACCTTTCAGTACTTAATTAGTATTCTTTATACTTATATATTCAGTGCTATATGAAGTCAAGAAATATATATGTATATATATAGTCTTGGACTCAAGCACTAAGATACAAAATAGTTAAAAGTGTTGCCCTCAGCTTCTTGGCCTAATAGCCAAGGACGCCCTAAGTAGACATAAGATTCAACCCCAACCTCTTTTCTCCTTTTGTTGTAGGGCTCTACCTATTGAAACAAAAAAAAATGTTGCTACGTGAAATGAAGGAAAAAAAAAAAAAACCATAAGTGACTAAAAGTGCTTTTTTTTTTTTTTTTGCTGGAACACCATTGTAACCTCGAGGGATGTCGGTCAATTTAAACATTTAATTTACAAAATTGTACCATGCTGGGGTTGAAATCCTAGAAGTCTAGAACCAACGCTAGCGCGCGGTTTTCTTAATAAAAAGTACGTAGCTACCTGCTGGAACCATGGCTGACGCGCGACTAGTCCCTTTTACCTGCAATGAGAATTGGTAGACCTCCATCCTGTTAATTGAATTTTCCCCTGCTGGTTTCCTTCGTGCTACCGTTTACCGTTTATATAAACCTTTCACATCTCCTGCTTTGTCAGTCTCCATGTTGATTATAGTTCTAACAGAGTGCAACCCATTTCCTTAATTGGCTACTCGACTTGCTTTTCCAACTTCTATGGCTTTCAGCAGCAACAGTTGCTGATCTTTTTAAGCTTACAAAACTACGCGCCTTTATTTTGTGCTAAGGCAAAGAAGTTCATTGATTTAAGAGACTCCACGCCTCTGGGATTGGTCCTCACGCTCTCAGTTTCCTATCTGAAAGGAATTCAAACCAAACGAAGTCCGATTCCCTGACAGCATACTAAAACTTTTGAGTTGAAAATCACTTTTAACAGCCATGTCGACGTTGCCAGCACAAGGAAATCCGAATGAGTTGACACAGCAGGTGATGAAATCATTCGCTGAGAACTTAACTTCTGCTGATCAGCGATTAAACTCTCAGATGCCGCCTTGCGTTGAGTCGGAGGCCGGTTCTATGGCACATACTGAAAATTCAGGTTTTAATTGGAAATCATTTTTGCCATTCACGTCGTCGAAATCACTTTTTGATGATGATTTATTATATCATGAGCAGCCGTGGAACTCTGAGCCGGAATTTATAGAGGAGCCCGGTTCCATGGCACAGAATGAGGATATGAATCCAATATGGGAAAATTGGGAATCATCTGCAAAAACCATGTCCTCGCTAGGAGAAGAAGAAGAAGAAGAGGAAGAAGAAGAAGAAGAAGAAGAAGGTAATCCTAACGAGTTGCCACAGCCGCTCAGTTCTCATGATAACTCTCAAAGAGGCGTTGGTGAAGAGGGAGTTGGGGATAGTGAACCAAACCCAAGCCACCTGGACAACGCTGATCAAGCTTCAAATGAACGAATACAAAAGGATCGTAAACCAAGGCTACTACCAGTCGGAAAAGCAACAATGCAACTTGACCAAACAGGAACATCAGCTGAAGCAAGCATTAACTTTGGACAGAAACGAAAGGCTCGCGAAACGAGAATGCTCAAGGAAGAGCAAAAAGATGAAAGAAAAAAGAAAAAAATAGTAAGTGACAGAAAATATCGAGCAGATAAGAAGGTAAATGAATTATCTATGTATTCAATATTTCCGGTTGCTATATATGAGTAAAGTATATCATAGTATATTAATTTTTTGTTTTCTATGTGCAAATGAAGAAAGAGTTAAATGAACTGAGGAAAATCAAGCCACAGTACGAGAAACTGATGAAAATAGCATCCAGTTTTGGGGGGATTGACGAAATGGAGTCACAGATTAATCACATGAACTCTGAGTTATGTAGACTCCAAAAAGAAGAGGTAGAATACGATATGTTCCGGCAAGTAACTGAAACCGAGTTCCATCAGTTAGCGCGAAAGAGATCGAAGTATGGTGGAACTGAAGAAATGGAGTCCATGTTGGACAAATTCAAGGTATTTAATGTGTTGTAATATTCTCCAGTTACTATTAAGTTTGACTTTTTCCTTGCATCATGTTAATTTAACTGATGTTAAGGTTTATGATTTTTGATGTGAATGACAAGGAATTGGAGGTCGAGTCCCAGAAACTGAAACTAATGAAATCCAAGTATGGAGAAATTGGGGAAATGGAATCCATCTTGGATAAATTCAAGGATATGGAGGCCGAGTGCCATAGACTGGAACTAATGAAATCCAAGTATGGAGAAATTGAGGATATGGAATCCATGTTGGATAAATTCAAAGATATGGAAGCCGATTCCCATATACTGGATCAATTGAAATCTTTGTTCGGGGGGATTGAAGAAACTGAGTCCATGCTGGATAAAGCAAAGGAAATCGAGGCCAAGTTACAAAGGTTCGACCAAATAAAGTCTATGTTTGGTGGAATTGATGAAATTGAGCCCGAAATAAATAGGCTTAAGAAGATGGAGTTGCAGTTCGAAAAGCATAAGCAAATGGAGAAGCAAACGGAAATGGAAACCTTGCAGTTTCATGCATCTCCTGGTAGTCGCCGGGTATATCCCTCTTGCCCTCTATCTTTAGTTTTATATTTCTTTTGGGTTGGATCTGGAGAAAGTGTAAAATTCAGAAACCTATGATTTACACTCTCAGTCTTATTCTTCCATCCTTTATGTTCGGCTTATAGTTTTTCTGTTTTCCATCTCTCAGATTAGTGATCCGTCGTCAGATAATTCCTTGAACTTTTTGGACACAAATTTAGTGTATATACACACACATTTCAGTCGACCCATTAAGATTTCTCAAGGATAAACCAATTAGTTATGTATATCTTCTATCCTGCCTTTATTCTCTTTGTCTCGCAACATTTTGGCTTTGATGAAACAGTATTTTGCTGCCTTTGATATGTTCCAGCAAATGGAGTTCGATCATCAATACTACACACAACAGCAAATGGGGACTGATTTTGATCGATTCGAGCAAATGAAGTCTAAGTTTGGTGGAACTGAAGAAATGGAGATGAAGTTGGATAAATTCCATCATATGGAGGCCAAGTTACATATATTGGAGCAAATAAAGTCCATGTTGGGTGGCATTGATGAAAATGGAATCGAGAATGAAATAAATAGGCTTCAGGCAATAGAACCGCGGCACAACAAACATAAGCAAAAGGAGCTGCCATTCTTCCGTGAATCCCCAGGTAGCCTCCAGCAGGTATCTTCCGTCTGTCTATCAATTTTTTAGGTGAAAAGCACTATTTTCCATGACAGGTACTAGGACTTAAAGTTGTATTACGTTTTGAGTTGATGAAAGGAATGGAAGTGTTGTTTTTAAAATTCCAAAACCCAAGTTTTTCTGCTTTCAATCTCTCACATATTCATTCGAGTGAATTCGATAAAGATAAAAGACTCGCACATTAAGTCAACATAAATAATACCAATTAGTTACGTTTACCCAACTTTTTTTTTCTCTCCTGATATTTTGGCTATTATGAGATGCGCCTGTACATATTACATTATTTACCTTACAGGAGCAGCGGGGATCACAGTCATTGGACTTGAATGGCGACTCTCACATGGTATGGTTATTGCAACGTTGCAACACTTGGTTTGTTCAGTGAGGTTCAGTTTGTTATTTTTTTTATTCCTGCTTTTAAACTAGATCGTTTATTGTATTGATCCTTTCTCCAATAACTTATATTAATGTTTCAGGTGTCAGATCAGAATGGAATTAGTCTGAATTCCTCTGCCGCCGTGAGTGGGATAACGCTTGACATGCAGTATTCTGATGTGCTTGTGCATGAACTTATAGCTAGACTTAGTGATGAGAACGTTGCGAGCAACTTGGACCACGAAAGCTTTAAAGATTTGTTAGATGGAGAGTGCGAAAGCGTTGGCAAGTATACAATCCCACGGTCTCTGGTCTCGACTGCTCGTGATATCTTCAAGGCCCATGATGATATTACAACAAGAAGCAGATACAGTTTTGTTATTGTTCAGACTATATTTGTTTTGTGTTGTGCTGCTATCAAAGAGATGGGTGATCGGTCTCTTGAAGAAGTTACTGAAAAGATTATCTGGAAGTGGAGAAACGCAATCATGGATGCTAAACGCAGTGAATGCAATGTGGAATTTGCGATGGAACATTTGAAGACAATTGCTAAGGGTTACTTTGGTCTCAAAGCAAGCAAAGATCGCGATAACTTGAAACAGAGGATGGAAAGTCTAAGGGCCTATGAAGAAGCATTGAGAAAGCAGCTTGAAAAGATGTCAAATGAGATAAAGGCCATGGAAATGAAACTAGGAGACCTGACATCTGAGCAATGCAAGATTTGCCAGGAATCCGCAGATAAATTTTTGGGCAAAACTGTTGGTATTTTCTGATTAATTGGTTCTGTACTTTTCATTTCCCCATTTTTGGCTGATCCACGAAATTGCCAAGGTATTATTGCTTACTGGGCTGCTGTCATTTTTTTTTTTTTGGTGACAAGCAGTCGTTGTTATGTAACCTTGATAGAGGCCATATTGACAAATAAATCTCCATTTATTCACTTAAAGATGTGCTACAACCATGGGCTTTAATATTTATATAGAATTTAATTGTATATAAGTTTAGATAAGAAAAAAAAAAAAAAAATTTCGTCCCAAAAAAATCAAATATTTTCGTCTTGATTTTAAATTGAAAATCCTAACTCTATTACTGACTACAACACTATTGGCTTTTGGTTTCGGATGCACAAAAAAAAAATAGTGCATCTCTATGGTCAAAATGATACTGACATAGGCCAAAAATGCAGCCTCGGCCAAATTATGGAGAATACTTTTGATTGGTTTCGCCAAGCTTTGCTTTGGAGCATTTTTGTTTGGAGCAGATGTTGCGAATTAGAGAGGAGAATTTGATGCAGACGCAAGCGAGACAAGCCCGGCTTTTGGGGTCGTCTTCAAGCTTCGAGAAGATATTTAGAGTAAGAAACTAGAGCAGAGAAGAAAGAACAAGATTGACGACAAATGAATCATTTTAAACCCTGTGATCTCCGAAACAAAATAACAATAACAGGAAAATGTCAGATCGATATGCATATATCTCGTGCTTCATATTTCTTATAGAACAACATTATGGGCATTTGTAATAGGATAATAGGTGTGCTTACGCAGCCACTTCCACTCCATAAGATGGAAAATTGGAATGAAACTTAAAAATGCAAGCCAGATGCTGTAGCTAGTAAGTTCTATATTGACAGTCGGTTAATTTCATTCTCATCATTCATGCAAGACCAAAAAACTCAGAACTAGTAACAATAATCTTCCTCACATGGCAATCAACTAAGCAGTGTATTCTAATAAAGGATTATTATATCATCCACCGCCAATTGATGAATAAGGCTGAGTTGATTCAGCAGCAGATTAATTATGGAGATAATGTGGGAAACTGGGTCTGCGTTTCTGATATTTCTTTTAGTTGTAGTTTGATTGTACTTTTATTTTCATCTGTGTAATTGACTACATTAATTGTTTGGTGCCTTTTGAGGGTTGAGCTGCAAACTCAGTTACTCAGGAAAAACGATACGATTTTAAGGTTAACAATGTGTTTTGTGCAGCCCATTAATCCACTTATTGTTAATGCAGATGAAGATTTTGAAACTGTGAATTGTTTGTAAGCTTTCATCTCTTTTTTCCTATTGTTCTGTTTTAAGCTTCAGGTTTTGCATTTTTTTAGCGGCATTTTGGACCGAGGGGAAACTTTCAAAAATGAAGAATTTTATGTGGTAGAGTCCATTGCTTGGTGAGTTTTCTTTGTTAACCTTGTTAAATTTCCAGAGTTAGGATCTTGCAGGTATTTGATTGTTTATGTGGGGATTCTCTTTTCAGAATTTCAAACAAGAAAAAAAGGGGCTTCACCAGGAGCCTGGCATGACCTGAGAAGAGTGGTTTTTTTTTTTTTTTTTGGGGGGGGGGGGGGTACAGAAATTGTTTTCTATATTAGAGATAAGGGGGTCAAGGTCACTTATTTCAGGAAAATATGATCTCCAGGCTTGAGTCTGTGCCATGCGATGCTCCAATTAGGTTTGAAGTTTCATTTCGTCAAGAAGAGAGCTATAAGCATTGTGCAGAGAAATCTTACAGGGAAGCTGAAGTTATAGCTCAATATTGGTGCGTGAAATACTGGATGATTTTAAAAAATAAATAAATAAATTTGAATAGAGAACACTCTTTGAAACCTGTAGATAGATTTCTTCTAAAAATTGACAAGGCACAAAGCTTGACTTGACAAGGAAGATTAAATGACATCAACAAAATAAGGTGATCTTTAAGAACCACATAGAACAATGAGAGATAGAATTACATAAATCAATCAAAATTCAAGAAAAAATTTCATCCATGCTATCTAAACATTTTAAAATTTATATCTAAGATGCAGAGTACCAATGACATTAGGTCATCAGATGAAGAAAGTACCAAAGAAACCAAACATGGAATTATCGTCCACAGTATAGAACTACAACACAAAACAATCCAGAACATCCAAACTGTTTACGCAGAGCATAAACACAAACGAGTGTTTTGCTTTTCATCCATTTTTAGGATACTGAACACCAAATATAATTACTTAGCAAACATATTTTGCTGGGCCTGATTCTCCTGCTGCTGTTGATAGTTGAGTGGCCTCCTGAAGAGCTTGATGTGTGGTTCAGGGCGATGAATAGCATAATGGACCCAACCACGACTCTGCTGTACTCCAATCGCACGCCACTCATTCTACAAAAGGATACCAAACAACCCAATCAAACCTGGAAATCCCCAAAAACTAATTGACATAACAGAATCAATACTTTTAGCCCCAAAACAAAGTAAAAAGAGTGAAAAAAGATAAAAAAGACACAAATCATAAGATAAGCATAGTTCAAAACTAAGTGAAAAAAACACAAACCATGTCTAATGTTTTGAAAAGCAAAACAGAACATATGACATTAAAAATCATAGTTCATTCATCCAATTCATACTTCAAAACTAAGTGAAGGGGTTGGAAGAGAAGAAGTTGAGGAAGATGGATCAAGAGTGGCTGTTTATAAAGGTGAAGAAGCTAAACTGGTGGCTAAGAAGGCTGAGTTGATGCAGCAACAGATTTTGGAGATAATGGGTGATTTTGGGTCTGCTGATGGGGTTAATTAGTTTCTGATATTTCTTTTAGTTGTAGTTTCATTATACTTTTATTATGATCTGTGTAATTGATTTCATTGTTTGGTTGGCTATTGAGGGTAGAACTGCAAACTGAGGAACAATTTTAGGATTTTAAGGTTAACAATGTGTTTTTGTGCGCCCATTAATCCAAATGTGCAAATGAAGCTGAAAGTATGAAACTTAGAATTGTTCTTAAGCTTTCATCTCTTATTTTTTAATCTTTTTTGCTATTTCAAGCTTCAGGTTTTGCCTCTTTTATAGGTAAACTATAGCAGCAGCATTTTGGGCTGATGGGAAAACCCCAAAAGTGAAAATTTTGTATACTGTAGCTTGGTTAGTTTTCTTTGCAATCTTGTTAGACCCTTGTTAGATTTCCAGAATTAGGATTTTACTGGTATTTGATTTTTTTTTTTTTTTACCTGATGGCTCTTTTCTGTGGAGGATCCTCTTTTGAGAATTCGAACGAGAAAAAAAGGGCTTCACAATGAGGTTGACCTCACCTGAGAAGAGGTTTTTTTTTTCTTTTTTTTTGGGTACAGAGAAGAGGCTCTTTCTTACATTGGAGAAAGGGGGATCAAGGTCACACAGGAGAGAGCTTCAGTAACTTCATAAATATACTGCTTATTTGTGCTTGTAAGTTGTAATCTTCACTTTAGAGTTCTGATGAGCATGAATTATGAATCGATGAAATACTTTTCAGTCAGATTATGAATCTTACAATCAAAAAATAACTTGTCAATAGAATCTAATATGATGCCTGTTACAAATATTACTATAGATAGATAAAATCGGGTAACGGAAACCTGACTATTTTATACGTTGTTTGATAATGGAACTTCCATAAAATGACACAGCGGGTATATTAATCATCAAGCCCACGCAACAAAGGCAAAGTTCAAAGGTAGAAAATCAGTCTAGTTCTATTCTTTTCGCTAGGAAAATATAGTACTTATGAACTATACCAACCTCTGCAACAGTAGCTGGGACAGAAAGCTAGTTTATACAAAGGTTCTATCTTGTTGGCAAGCGCACCTGAAAACTGCTGGAAATTTATTTAGTTATTTTAAGGCCAATATTGTTATGTCCAGCCCGTTAATGCTAATGCTGTTTCTGAAGTCAGTTGTTTAAGCCTTCATTTGGTTTCGTTGTTCCTTTGTGGCCCATTTTGCTGTTTTGAGCTTGAAATGTTGCCCTCTTAAATTTATGGGTAACACTTTTAAAATCAGATTGATTGAAAGAGTTGGGCCAGTCGGAAAAATCTCAAACATGAAAAGTTCATGTTTTTTAGCCTGCTGAATTTCCTTTGCTATCTTGCTGTACTCTTGTTATGTTTCAAGAATTATTGTGGTCTTACAAACATGAATTTTTATGTGTTTTCTCTTTGCTAGTTTTCAGTTTTCACGACCTTTTTCTAGGAACCGCACTGCCTTCAGAATTCATACTAGAAAATTGGCTTTACCTTGAGGATCAGAAGCGTCTGTTGTAATGTTCAGAGCTAGGGAATGTTACACAGAAATTTATTAACTCTATAAATAAATTGGTTATTTATTATTGTAATCTTCGAATTGGAGTTCAGATTAGCACTGAAATAAGTTGCGAGATAATGAATATTACTGCCTCAGAATAGTTTCAGTATAAACTACTGGTATGGCTGCTAATTTAGTGACAGAAACCAGACCATTCGAGATTATGCACCAAACCAAGGCGTTTGTATGATCTTTGTACTTTGAAAGCAAATGGAATAACTAAGGCGAATTCCAAGGCAGAAAATTGATAAGCAAGCAGAAATATGGAAATTATGAAGAAAGCAGCGTTCAGTGCAATACGAGGGGATGAAATCCCAATAATATCTACAAAAGAGTCTCGCACAAAAAGTTAGGAACAGCTGGAGGTTTTCTCTTTTGTTGGCCAAAGCATCTGCAGCTCTCTCTGCTACCTTGGATCTGCAATCTTCGATAGGGGGCCTTGGCTAAGGGTGCAAGGTGGTATTTAACTTCATTTTTCCACTTTCAGGATTCAGCTTAAATTCGTCCATCCTGGCTGTGGTGAGTTGGTTGGTTCACAGGTTCCACCCAGGGTGGGGAATTGAACCCTCTTTGGATTTGGCCCAAAAAACTCAATTCACTGAAGGAAAATAGACTCGAGAGATAAATAAGAATAGGGTCGGATAATACTTCAAATATTCTTCTATTCGTCTATTTCCAAAATTTCAAGTACCACTGGCAAACAAGGCAGCCTGCAGATGTCAAATGAGAAGAGAAACGAGAGGGATGTTCAAGTGAAGAACTTTTTAATCAAGATAGGCAACATAGATACATTACCTGAATCCCGTGATTTCCAACGACAGAATAA